CATCTCAGCCTTCTGAGTAGATAAGATTCCAGGTATGAGCCACTGGTGCCTGGCAAATAAATGAAATCTTGTTTTTGTTTTTCTTTTTTTTCTCGCTCTTGTTGATTGTGGGGCTTGAACTCAGTCTGATCACTATCCCTGAGCTTTTTAAATCAAGACTAGTGCCCTATTACTTTCATCCACAGCTCTACTTCTGGTTTTCTGGTGGTTAATTGGAGGTAAGGGGCTCACAGACTTTTCCAGTCCAGGCTGGCTTTGAACTGTCATTCTTAGGTTTTAGCCTTCTAAGTAGCTAGGAATACAGGTGTTGAGCCAGCAGCACTGGGCAAATTAATGGAAACTTCTACTAGAAATAGAAAAGAAAATAAGAAAAGTAGTTATAAATTAACTGTAACACTATACATATCAACATTAATCCTTATATTGTAAATATATTTGACTGGCTTTAAAAGGAACACACTAATTTACAAGATACATTTTGAAAAATGACACTTAAGAATTGAAAGTAAACTTAAGTTTGGACTAATACACACAGATTTTAATTCTATAAAAATGGTTTGTGAAAAAATGGGTTTTTGTCTATTTTAAGATAAACTCTTGGGGCTGGGAAGGTAGCTCAGTGGTAGAGTACTTGCCTTGCCTGGGCACTGTCCCTCAGCTCTTCAGCTCAAGGCTAATGCCCTACCACTTGAGCCACAGCATCACTTCTGGCTTTATTCTGCTCTTGTGGTGCTGAGGAATTGAACCCAAGGCCTCATGCATACGAGGCAAGCACTCTACCACTGAGCCACTTTCCCAGCCCTGTTTCATTATTTTGACGTTAGAAATTGAAGTCATTGTAGAGAATGGGCATTTATGTTATTTCTATTTCTGTTTTCCTATTTTAAGTAGTAGTACTATGATTATTTTATGGTTTAGTCCATATGTATAAAAGTTAATCTAAGGTATTAATAAAAATGGTTTCTTATATTGGGCTACATTTGAAAGATTAGAATAGTATTGACAACTAACTCTATTCTCCCCCCCGCCCCCCCCCCCCCCATAGGTTGTAGGGCTTGAACTCAGGGCCTGGGTGCTGTCCTTGAGCTTTTTTCTTTGCTCACAGCTAGCACTCTACCATTTTGTAACAATGCCACTTCCAGTTTTCTGGTGGTAACTGGAGATAAGAGACTCCTGGACTTTTCTGCCAGGGCTGTCTTCAAACTGTGATCCTCAGATCTTAGTTCCTGAGTAGCCAGAATTACAGGCATGAGCCACTAGGGCCAGGATTAACTATTCTTAAGAGGTTCTCATTTACTTTGTCTGGAAAATATAGCCTGGGCATTAGGATATTTAGAAAAAATATGACCAAAGCCAATGGTAGCTTTTTTAAAATTCAAATTTGTGGCACGATATGAGGATTAGTTGTCTGTTTAAACTGTCAGATAACAAAAGATAGTATCCTGATTCTTCCCTAAAGTTTTCATATTTATTTGGTGGTATAACTGGCATTCTGACTATGATTAAGTAGATTTGTGTTTTCTTGTTGCAATTTATTGCTTGTTCTTGTATAATTTTTTTAAAGAAGAAAAGTTATAAAATCATTAAGTAAGAACAAATGGGCTTGTTATTTAACAGTTGCATTAATATACATTAGATAACTGTCTCCTTAAATATGTTTTAATATAAATTCTTAGTGATGGTTACTTTTTGATTTCAGCTATAGTTATAGTAGGCTCAGTTTTTAGTATTGCTTGAGATTTCATATGTAAATTAAGAAACGCCTGAATAATTTCCTCTCAAGTGAGGCAAGGCTCAAAATCTGGGTCTTTCAGAATTAAGCAATAAATTTATTGAAGTGAGCTTTGACTTTTAAATTCACATTGACTTTTGAATGCATAGATGATGTATGTTGCCTTAAATATGGTTATTTTAATTATAATTCTTGATGTTTCTATAATCATCTAATGAAATTGTAATTTTGCTCCCTATGTTTACATTCATAAATTTTGCCTGTGAAACCTTTGGAACTTCTAATAGCTTTAAAGTAATAAGATATTGAAAATTTCAGTTGTGAAATGAAAATAACCCAATACTGTTGTTTTACTGGTACTATTTTTGAATGAGTACTGTAAAGACATTTAGGCTTACAAATTTTTTAAGAAGGCAATCTTCTTTAAAAAATTGAAAGGCATTTTTAAGACATTGTTAAAGGGTAGAATGGAAGTATTAAGCCATTCTCTTTTTCTCCTAAAAGAAACAAGGTTACTTCATGTTTCTGTATTTTTTTTTTAATAGTTACCTATCCATGCTTCATAATGGTGTGGTAGTGAAGTTTACTAGAAATGTAGATAATTGAAAGTAAACTTAAGGAAAACATTTTTAAAAGATTTCCTTTAAAAATTAAAAAATGGGTGATTCTGCCACTCAGTAACTTAATATATCAATGTTAACTGTTCTCTGATATATTTCTTGAGTACTTATGTAATTTCTTTTTAGATTTAAATTTCTACACAACAGTACTACTATGGAAAAAAATCAGGATTTTTCCATATGAAAAGAATATGCTATTCAAATAGCATAAATAACTTATTTTTTTTTTTTAATTGTATGAAAGGAGAGGAGGTTAGCACTCCCCTTGACAAGGATGGAAGAGGCCTTTGGGCCTGACAACATGCATACTTCATGGCATCTAACCTTCGTTTTTAAGGGAGCGTTTCTGCATTGTTGGTGGGACTGTAAACTTGTTCAACCACTTTGGAAAGCAGTATGGAGGTTCCTCAAAAGACTCCACATAGAGCTCCCCTGTGACCCAACAATCCCACTTTTGGGCATTTACCCAAATGATCACAAACAAGACCATACTAAAGCTATGAGCAGAACTATGTTTATTGCTGCATTATTTACCATAGCTAAGATGTGGAACCAACTCAGATGCCCCTCAGTAGATGGATGGATCAAGAAAATGTGGTGTATATGCACAATGGAATTCTATGCCTCCATCAGAAAGAATGGCATTGCCCCATTTGTTACGAAATGGAAAGACTTGGAAACAGTTATATTAAGTGAAGTAAGCCAGGCCCAAAGAAACATAGGTCCCATAGTTTCCCTTATTTGCAATAACTAGTATATGTCTGAGATAAGCAGAAAAGGTCAGATAAGTTGACATTAGGTGAAATGAACCCCAAGATAAGGATTCAAAATTTTTTTTTCCTTTCTTGTGATTGTTTCTAACACATTATAAGATTATTTCTTTGTTGCTTTGTATGTCCCTCCCCCATGGTATAACCCCTGTTTTCACCGTATTTGATGTTGGTATAATATGTGGAGGGCAAGGGAAAAAACAAATCGTTTAAATAGGGATACAGTTGGACCCATTGCAACAATGAAATGTACAAGTCGTTATGTTGAAAAACGAACTTTACAAGTTTGGGCTGGGGGTGGATGAAAAAAAAATTATATGCTACCTATTTGGGAAAGAATTTCCTCATTCTTTTATGACAATTTTTTAATGTCTTTTGTTGTACTTTATCTATTAACTGTAGGACCTTACTTCATCAGTTATTCCTTATTTCTCAGGACATGATTTTCAGTTAAATCTTACTTCTTATTTACAAATAGGTTCCAGTTATTAGATACTACCTGCTTTCATACAAAACAAAATATAACCTTGTTTGACTCCTGTTTTTTATTATCTGTTACATTGATTCCTTTCTTCCTTTGTACATTATTGGTTGCTTAGTCCCATGAATTTTACTACATCATTGTAATTTTTATATTAGAACTTTATTTTACAGGTATGTAGTTGAAAGAATTTATAATCTTTTATGTTTTTCAGAGCATTGAATGAAATGTGGAAATGTCAAAATCTGCTTCGGCATCAAGTAAAGGATTTGCTTGATTTAATTAAGCAACCCAAAGTAAGTTGAATTTTAAAGAAAAATTTTCTTTTCTTTCTTTTTTTTTTTTTGGTCAGTTGTAGGGCTTGAACTCTGGACTTGGGCGCTATCCCTCAGCTCTTCAGCTCAAGGCTAGCGCCCTGCCACTTGAGCCACAGCACCACTTCTAGGTTTTTCTTTTTTGTTTATGTGGTGCTGAGGAATCGAACCCAGGGCCTCATGCATGCAAGGCAAGCGCTCTACCACCGAGCCACCTTCCCAGCCCCATACAAGAATTATTTTATTTTATTTTATTTTGTTGGTTTTGGGGCTTGAACTCTGGACTTGGGCGCTATCCCTCAGCTCTTCAGCTCAAGGCCAGCGCTCTACCACTTGAGCTACAGAGCCACTTCTGAAGAAAAATTTTCTTTGGATGTTAAATTTTATAAAATACATGGATCTTTGCTTATATATACACCATTTTAACATTGCTTCTTTGAGTTAATTCTGTGGAAAAGTTCTGATGTAGGGTTCCTGACAAAGACACTAGAAAATTGAATAAATTTTATTGTATAGAACATTTAAAAATATTTACTATAATTGCAAAAAGTACTTCCCAACAGGAAAGAGAATTTGTTTTTTGATGCTCAAAATTAAGGCTTTTGGCAGCTGAAATAAATAATAATTTAGTATTAATGAAAGCTTAGAAAATAGAATAAATACTGCATTTTATTTTGTAACACTGAGATGCTCCCAATATCTTTATGTGCTTTTGTGGTTGTAGAAAGTTTGCACACTCATGTAATTATTATTCAGTATATTTATATTTTTACTTATAATTAAAACTATAGTGGTTTTATTTTATTAACCTTATTGTAATTAACATAATTGAATGTATTGTTCACTAAGTATATATTTCATTTGTATACATTTAGATTAATTCTACCTTGTTTTTCTTTTGAGAATGTTGTCTTAGTATATGAGAGGTATAATTTATCTGAAAAGCAACATGGCTAGTCATTTAAAATTGTATTTAGGGAAAATGTTTTTTATTTCCTTTACAATCCATAAGGGTCTCCCTGACCCTCTTTCATTATATGTACCTTGTATTTTTAAGATAGAGGTCAATAGAACAGAATTGTTTCATTCAGGTGAAAAATTTATAGTTTCTCAGTGATATATTAAGTAGTTGCTCTAAAAAAAATCTATAAATTAACAGCACTTGTAGTGATTTTTGTGAACCCCTCAGTATTTTTAAACCTTTACGTGTGATTTAAAGTTTCTAGAAAATAAGGCATTTTGTGTCACTTGTTTGAACCTCATATCTGAACAGCATTTTTATGCTAATAGTAGCCTTATTTTATTTCTTTGAGCATGATTTAACTTTTTCTCAATCATTGAGTATAATCAGGTTGCTAGAATGATTTCCTGCATAATAAATGACTTAACTAATTTAGTGATTCTACTGATTACTTCCTCTTAACTAGTGGAAACAGTATTGCATGCAGTAAGTATGTTTCAGTCAGTAATCTCTGAGTAAAAAGTCCTTTCTTTGTTCCCTAGGGCCATCCTAATTTGCTTTCTTCTGGACAAACATGTGACAGTGTTTTAGACACACAAACAAACACATACACATCTATGTAGGTGTATACAATTATTCTTGATTTTTAGGCATTACTCAAGTTTTAATATCATCCAGATATGGAAAGAATGTAGATCATATGTTGGGCAAACATGCTGTGTGAGATTGTAATTGAATATAACTTTGAGACTTTTATGTCTCTTTAAATTTTATTTGGTGAGAGGTTTAAAGATAATATAGTATATAGTAATATACTAACTTGTATTGTCAGAGTCTTAGTAGATTTCTCTCCAATATTTACTGTACAATATGAGGCACTATAGAGTTAAAGTTAGGAATAAATTTTTTGTATTTCTTCCTGTTTTACCAAGAATACTCTTAAAGGCTTCAGGTTTTGTTGTTGTTGTTTTTTTTTTTTTTGCTTACTTCATTATTCAGTCCAATTATTAGTGTAGAATTTTTAGCAGCATGGTCCTTCTACTTTATTTAACTAAATTACCTACTCAGTGTCATTCAGAAGTGACTGCCATTTTCAGTATCAAACTGAAAATGCTGTTCTCATGTAGATCAATTTTCTGAAAACTCACACCAGCTGGGCGCTGGTGGCTCATGCCTGTAATCCTAGCTACTCAGGAGGCTGAGATCTGAGGATCTTGATTTAAAGCCCAGCCCAGTCAGCAAAGTCTGACTTATCTCATGGCATTGTGGCTCAAGTGGGAGAGCCCTTTCCTTGAGCTGAAGGGCTAGGGACAGCGCCCAGGCTCAGAGTTCAAGCCCCATGACTGACCAACAAACAAAACTAAACAAAAAACCACATAACTCAGCACCAAATAAGGCAACAAAAATCTTACATTTTCTTTCTTTCTTTCTTTCTTTCTTCCCTTCCCCTTCCCCTTCCCCTTCTCTTTCTTCCCTTCCTCTTCCCCCCTTCCCCTTCCCCCTTCCCCTTTCCCTTCCCCCTTCCCCTTTCTTCCTTCTCCTTCCCCTTCTTCTCCTTTCCTTTCCTTTCCTTTCCTTTCCTTTCCTTTCCTTTCCTTTCCTTTCCTTTCCTTTCCTTTCCTTTCCTTTCCTTCCTTTCCCTTTTTTCCCTTTTCCCTTTCCCTTTCCCTTTCTTCTTTCGACCTGGGACTTAAACTCAGGGCCTGGGCACTGTCCCTAAGCTTCTTTTGCTCAGGGCTAGTACTCTACCATTTGAGCCACAACACTACCACTTAGGGCTTTTTCTGTGTATGTGATACTGAGGAATTGAACCCAGGGCTTTATGTATGCTAGGCAAGCACTCTACCACTAAGCCACATTATGTTTTCTTATGAAATTGTTTAGTACTCTAAATTTCAGATACTTAAGGGTCCATTCTCATACTTTACTTCGCCTTTAAGTTCCTTTTAGCAAGCTTTTTCATAGGGATGGTAGGTTTATTTCTTTGATTTGTATTCTTGAATCCATCCAGCATTTATTTGGATTAGTATTTTAAACAATATTGGGAATCCTAATTTACATTTTTTGTGTGATTTACAGACAGATGCCAGTGTCAAGGCCATATTTTCAAAAGTGATGGTTATTACAAGTAAGTTACTTTAAATCTATATAAAATTTAAAATTTGAAACATTTCTTACAGTGATAATGGTTTCATTTTAGACTATCACATGGTAAATGAATTAAGTGCTTTTGCTTAATTTAATTTATAAGAGTTCACTCAGTTTTTTTCACATTTTCATTCTTAACTTACTCATTTTAAGATTTAGTTGAACTTATACTATTTTTGGGCAGTCCAAAGTTTAAAATTTCTATTATTAGAGAAATCCTAGTCTTGTTCTCTGTAGCAGTTAAGTAACCTGAATAAAACATATTAAGAGCAACATGCATAGCTAGTATGACATCTTCTACAAAGACTTTGCTTTCTAATCTAGTAGCAACAAATTTAGCAGTTAAACCAGGAACAGCTTGCTCAGTATATTTGCATGTATATATGATTTATCTCTGGTTTGGTTTAACAATAAACAAAAAAATTACAGGAAAATAATTTATTTCTTCCTTTTTATTTTTTTCTACTTTTTCCGTGTGGTGTTGTGTGTGTGTGTTTATGTTTATACATGCTAGTCCTGATGCTTGAACCCAGAGCCCGAGTTCTGTCCTTGCACTCTTAGCAAGGATAGTGCTCCAACGGTTATCAGTTAAGCCACATGCTCCATTTCCAGCTTTTTAGTTATTAATTGGAGATAAGTATCCTAGACTCTGCTTTCCTGGCTACCTTTGAGCCATGAGCCTCTGATCTCAGTTTCTTAAGTAGCTAGGATTAAAGATGTGAGCCAACAGCGCTCAGCTGAACAATAATTCCTTAAAAGTAAAATTATGAGTGAGCACTGTATCTAATAGGTGCAAGGGAATAGTAGTAAAATAGGTATTATCCAGGTTGGCAATTAATGTCTTCAAGAAATATTAGATAAATTATCTAGAAATAGCCTGTTTAGTCTTACCTTGCATATAAATGTTTCATAAGAGTGATCCTGTTTTGTATTTCTAACAAGCAGACTTACTTGTAAAAATCCTCTATTTATGGTGCTTCACAATTTATTACTCAGAATTGAATTTGTAGATAAAATTAGTGATTTTTAAAATAATTTAAAAATTAGAGTTGTTTACATTCTGATTTATTTTAAGGAAACTTGCCAGATCCTGGTAAGGCTCAAGATTTCATGAAGAAGTTCACACAGGTGCTAGAAGATGATGAGAAAATAAGGAAACAGCTAGAAGTACTTGTTAGTCCAACATGTTCCTGCAAGCAGGCTGAAGGTTGTGTGGTAAGGAGAGAAATTCAAAGAGATAATATTTGAGCAGTAACTCCAAATGTTTTGTTGTCTACTCTCTCTTAATAAAAGTATTCAAATCTGTATATAAAATTTAGAAATTGTCACATACATAGTAACAAAGTTATAAACCTTTTGTGAGCACAATTATTAATACATTATTAAAATAAAATAATTTTGTAAATAGTTTTTATATATTTAAAAATTTTGTTTTAGTATTTTTAGTATTTTGTAGCTACATAGCATACCAAACCAAAGCAAAAGCATTATTGAGTCCATTGTATTACATGTTTAGTTTTATTTTTTATTTTCTTTTTCTTTGAGACTAGATCTTGTCATGTGGCCCAGTCTAGACTTAATCTTTCTTTAGTCTTTCAAGTATACGATTAATTACACATCATTGTGCCCAGCTGCACTTTTTGATTAAAGCTGTATATAATAGCTGTATAATCACCTTTTAAGTATTTCCCACAGTGTAGATTCTTCTCTTCTTCATTTTCTTCCTTCCTTCCTTTCTTTATTCTTTCCTTTCCCTTCCTGCCTGTCCCTTCACTTTCCCCTTCTTCTTCCCTTCTTCCCTTCCTCCTACTCTTTCCGCCCTTCCTCCTCCTTTCTCCCTTTTCCCCCTCTCCTCTTCTATTCCTTTGTGACTCACTTGAAACTGCAAGCCTTATACTTTTGCTTGGCTTTTCTTGCTCATGCGGTTGCTCTACCATTTGAACTATATCATCTTCTTTTTGCCATTTTCGTGGTTAATTGGAGATAGAGTTTTGTAGAGTTTTCTTTCTGGACGACTCCTGGTTTCAGTTTGATTCTATTTTTTTTTTTAATGAATTCTTAGAAGTACAATCACATGAATTAAAGGCTTATTTTTTAAAGCTCTTATATATTGACAAATGCTTCTCAGAACTTAATTAGTTTTTCACTAATCACGAGTAATAAGAATGTCCATTTTCTGATTCCTAATATTGGTAAGTTTCATTGCTAGAGGCTAAGCCCAAATAATAACAAAACATTTTTTTTAGGATTTGTACTTACCAGTTGCTAGTTATCTCTCCATCTTTCTTCCTTAGTTTGATGAGCCATCCATATATTTTTGTCACTTGTATGTTTATAATCTCTGCCTGTTTTTTTTGGGGGGGGGGTCTGGTCATGGGGCCTGAACTCTGGGCCTGGGCACTGTCTCTCAGCTCAAGGCTTGCGCTCTACCACTTGAGCCACAGCGCCACTTTGGCTTTTTTCTTTTTGCTTATGTGGTGCTGAGGAGTTGAACCCAGGGCCTCAGGCATGCAAGGCAAGTGCTCTACCACTGAGCCATCTTCCCAGCCCCTTTTGCCTGTTTTTATAGAATAGTGTTTGTCTTTATTACTTGGATGGTAATACGTTAGTGTTTGTGACATTGCAAGTAATATTTCTGTCAGTTGTGCCCTTTGAGTTTGTGTATGATTTTTTTTTTAATGCCAGTTCCAGGGCTTGAACTCAGGGACTTGGGACTCTCTGTGTGCTTTTTTTACTCAAGTTTAGAGTTCTGCCACTTGATCCACAGCTCTACTTCTGACTTTGTTTGGCAGTTATAATAAGAGACAAGCATCTCATGGACTTGCCTGTCCAGGCTGGCTTTGAGCACAGTCCTCAGATCTCAGCCTCTTAAATAGTTAAGACTTTCAGGCATAAGCCACTGGCACCTGTCATTTATGATATTCTTTACATATCATGATTTCTGTTTTTATCTAGCTACGTCTTAATATAACTCCTTCCCTTGTCTGTCCTGATTTTGAAATTCCATTCTAATAAAAACATTTCCACAGGTAAATATTTCTTAATCTGTTTACTGTATTTCTTCTGAAATGCATTTTAGAGAAAGATGTATTCTTAACTTTACCCTAAGTTCACAGAATGAGATCTAGTAATCTAGTTTTAAGAAGTTTCTTGGGCCGGGGGCTGGTGGCTCAAGTCTGTAATCCTAACTGCCCGGGAGGCTGAGATCTGAGGATGGTGGTTCAAAGCCAGCCTGGTCAAGAAAGTTGGTGCAACTCTTTTTTTTAAAAAAAAAATTATTGTTGGGCTGGGAAGGTGGCTCAGTGGTAGAGCGCTTGCCTTGCATGCTCGAGGCCCTGGGTTCGATTCCTCAGCACCACATAAGCAAAAAGAAAAAAAGCCGGAAGTGGCACTGTGGCTCAAGTGGTAGAGCGCTCACCTTGAGCTGAAGAGCTGAGGGACAGCGCCCAGGCCCAGAGTTCAGGCCTCATGACCGGACCAAAAAAAAAAAAAAATTATGGTGGTGGTGGTCGTCGTGGGGCCTTAACTCTGGGCCTGGGTGCTGTCCTTCAGCTCTTTAGCTGTAGACTGGCACTCTACCACTTGAGCCTCAGCCCCACTTCCAGTTTTTTCTGCTTATGTTGTGCTGAGGAATCGAACCGAGGGCCTCATGCATTTAAGGCAAGCACTCTACCCATAGCCACCGTCCCAGCCCCCCGTGAAACTCTTATGTGGAATATACCATGAGAAAAACGAGAAGTGGCGCTGTGGCTCAAGTGGTAGAGTACTAACCTTGAGCTGAAGAGCTAAGGGACGGCACCCAGACCAAGAGTTCAAGATCCACGACCGACAAAAGAAAAAGAAGTTTCTCAGATAGTTTTTCTTGGTAAATTTTGTATATCCACTGCTCCTTTGTATTTTTATCCATTCTATTTTTGGTATAGCCCATGAGATTGGGACCTAATTTTGTTTTTGATTCCAATGTTTTCCAGTTATTTCTGTGTTATATTGAATAATTGACTTTTTTTCTTGTTTGAAGTTTGACCTTTTTCTATACTCATTTCTTACCTAGCTTTACTACATATTTTAATTATTGGGAATTCTTAGTAATATAATCATTTGTCTAATGATTTTTGTAATATTTTAAAAAAATCTTCATTACAGCGTGAAATAACTAAGAAGTTGGGCAACCCTAAACAGCCTACAAATCCTTTTCTGGAAATGATCAAGTTTCTCTTGGAGAGGATAGCACCTGTGCACATAGACACTGAATCTATCAGGTATTTGTACATAAAAGTACTAACATTTCATTACTGATCATTTATTCCTGCATTTAGGCCATTCGTTCCTGCATTTAGGCCATCATCAGTCACTCTATTCAAGTTATCAGACTGGCTGCTTGCTGTGCATCATATGATACCTTATCTACACATGCATTTGCATGCACATTCATATATGCTCTGATTGTCAGTATGTGTGTAATTTTTCTTGCTGTTTAAACATTACTTCGAATTGTGTGAGAAATTATTAATCTAAACCCAATTTTTGTGTGTGCTCATAGTAACTCCTTTTTTGTTAGCTTGTTATATACTAGCTAGTACTAAAAAATAATTTGTTGCAACACCAAGAAGAGAAAAATAGGTGAATTTGTGACAAAGCAGCATACAATACATTATCAGAAGTGTTTGAGAACTGATACTTTTTAAATTTATTTATTGCTACAACTGGGGCTTGATCTCATTGCTTTATGCTCTTTGCTCAGCTTGGGAAAGAATATGTAGGCATCAAGATTAATAGAAGCTAAGATAACTGGATAGAAAAGACAATAGATATTTAGAAAATGATGTTCATCTATTTATATTATAGTGTGGACGAGTAAAAAAATTTTGATTGAGGTCAGATTATGGAAAGTCATTAAGATTGAGCTTTACAGATTTTACTTTATTCTTGGAGCTTTTGGGAACCTCTCCCATGTGTGAGTTAATGGATTGGAAGAGGGAAGTAGAAGAGATACTGATAAGGGGTTGTTGTGATTACCTACATGTAGTAGTGAGATGGGAAGGAAAGAACATATTTGAGGGAAGATTCAAAACCTAAATTACTGTCATCTTCCTGCAAATAAGGTATAGATCCCAAAATGTACAATTTCGAGTACAAATCATATTAATACCTAGTAAATAGTGACAAGACTTGCTTTTGAAGATGAGAAAGAATGTCCTTCCTACTTGGACTTAGCAAACAATTTTTCTGAAATACAGTTATATTGAGTTTAGTATAAAACCATATAAGTGGATTGAAATTGAGTAAAAACATTGTGGACAGACCATGGCAGCTTTTTATAATAAATAAGTTAGAGATAGTTTTAAATGTAAAATGATGAGAGTTTCCAGAATTAAGATACCATGGGCAAATAATGAGGACTAAAAGCAGGCCTTTGGTTTTAACAATCAGAAAATTGGTGATTAGAGAATGTTGTTAAAATATAGCAATGACAAGTAGCAATTTACTACTTATAATTTTGATAGAGGGTTCTAAAACTTACTTAGATTGAAACTCATTTATTTTAAAAAATAGGAACAGATGAGCCCACTCTGGTGTACAGTAACCTCTAGAAAGATTCTACTTTTAGTGCTGGGTAGTACTGATACGGCTTTTCACCTATATATAGCCTTACGTTTTGTAGGTAAATGCATGTTGGAAACCTTTAAAAATACTTCATAGCAAATAGGTTGGTAACTAATAAGATGGAACTCCCTCCCCCCCCCACTTATTTCTTGTTAATTGCTTCTTTGAGGAATGCCTGTTACTTTCCTGTTTTTTTTTTTCCCTATTAACTACAAGAATACTTTATAAGATAAGGCTACCATCCCATTCTTTTCCTTCTAAAGCTGGACCTGGCAGTATTAAAATATATAATTCTTTTGCTGCATTTTTTTTTAAGCTTTTGCTATTAGGTAGTTCTACTTTTTTTTTTTTTTTTTTTTGCAGAGGTGGGCTGTCAGTCATGGGACTTGAACTCAGGGCTTAGGTTCTGTCCCTGAGCTTTTATGCTCAAGCCTAGCACTCTACCACTTGAGCCACAGCACCACTTCTGGTTTTTTTGGTGGTTAATTGGAGATAAGAGTGTCACAGACTTTTCTGCCTGGGCTGGCTTTGAACCATAATCCTTAGATCTCAGCCTCCTAAGTAGCTAGGATTACTGGTTTGAGCCACCAATGCTTGGCTTCTGCTTTTTATATTTAAGTAGATAATGTGTTCGGACTTTCTTTTAGTGCCAGGTAGACAAATAGATACAACCTTTTTTTTTTTTTAAGTACACATGATAGTTGTTTTGACCTTATTGAAACTGATTGATTCCCATTTGAGATGTTCCCTTGACCCTTACTAGGGTTTCTCTTTATTTTTGTTTTCTGAGGTTTTTCTGTATTCTTATCTCATAGAGGGAGTTCTATTGTCTTTCCTAAATTTTATTGCTTGTTTATTAATACTTTAGTTCTTCCTGATTTCTTAACAAGTGACCTGTAGATTCTGTGCATTTTAACTTTTTATTCCAACTTAATATTTAACCTGTTAATAAGTTTTTCCTGTTTTTTGAATAGTTTTGTTGATACAGAAAAGCACTATTGGTTTTTGAATCTTTTACTGGTGTTACCTCACTAAATTCTTAACTATTTCAAAAATAATTATCAGGAGACTTGATATTTCAGATTGATAATTTTCAGACCTTTTTTAAAAATTTTTTTTTGGTTCTGATTTCTCTTCTGCTCAATTGTATTTTAGAATTCCTTTTCCTAGTTATCTCAGCTAAGGAATTCCATTTCTTATCATGGACTTCTTCGTTGTCCTTTCTTGTCTATGATAATAATTTATCTACTTGTTTTTGGCTTTCTTTAACTAGACTGAAAGCTTCATAGTCTTAGTCTTGGAAGAAAATACAAAGGGAACTTTGTATATATGCTATTGAATTTGTTTGCAGTTGCTTGAAAAGATTAACTTACAAGTTTTTATTTGAAATAGTTGAAGCTTTGAAAATAGTGAAAATTAATTTAGGGAAAATGATAAGAAAAGAAGAGGAAAACCCCTTGGAAATACACTTTAAAGTTATTTTTAGTGGTACCTTGGATTTAAACTCAGAGTCTTGTGCTCTACTATTTGAACCATACACCCAGCCCCTATTTGCTTTAGTTATTTTTCAGATAAGGTCTCCTATAAGGTCTCTCCAGGTAGTCTGGATTTCACTTCTCCTATTTCCTGTTCATGTATAGTGGATGATGAGCATACCCCACCTTGCCCAGATTTTTATTGGTTAAGATGGGGGTCTCATGAACTTTTTGCTTGAGTTGGCCTTGACTATAATCTCCCTGATCTCTTGTCTCCCATGTAGCTAGGTTTAGAGGCCACTGCCCCACAAGGGTCTTGAGGTTTGATCCTCCTACTCACACCTTCCTAGTGCTATGGTTACTGGCATGAGCCACTATATCTGGCAAAAATAAACATTTAAAGGGAAGAACATTTTAAGGAAGACAAATGCATTTGATAATTAGCAAAAGAACAAAAAGAATCAATGTGAATGATAATTGTTAGTGCATTACAAATATATACCTTAAGGACACTTGAGCCTGCTTTTAGAAGAAAGCTTGAAAACACACAGTTTCCCTTTTGGTGTCATGTATATTTGTTTATCTGAATTGGGGAAGGAAAGGGGAACAACAAAATGGTGAGACAAAGGACAAAGGGTGAACTGATGCAACAGCAATACTCACAAGAAAGTATGTTGGAAATGAACTTTACAACTTGGGGGGTGGGAGGGAGGGAAAGTGTGAGAAAATGAGGGAGGGAGTAACGATGTTTGACAAGAAATGTACTCATTATCTTATGTATGTAACAGTAACCCCTCTGTACATCACTTTGACATTAAAATTAAATTAGTCAAAACACCCAGTTTCCTTTTTGTTCTCCCATTCTTTTTTCTAATGTATTTTGTTAAGTTTTACTTGTGATGGTTACCTAGATGTTGTTGTTAGGCTTTTTAGTAGCAGTCTTGTGGTTTCTGGCTTCTAAAGCTGTACACACAAGCTGTGTCTGACACACAGCAATATTTGGTAAATAATTTGAAAATGCTTCATCTTGTTTTTTTTCTTTATCTCAGTATATAATCTGTATTAGTGGTAATAATGTTGAATTTTAGTTAATTAAAAATACATTTATTTGTATGGCATTAGGCCCTTTGTGGAAAGGCTTAATATAAATAGTGTCAGTGCAGCGCAAAGTAAATAACATTCTGATATTATATGAGTGGGTAAGGGAAAGTAACACTCCTTTGAGAAGAAGTAGCTCAAATTCTTTTACTGTGGTTAGTTGTGAAACAAAAATCTTGGGAAGCAGCTATATGAAATTTGAATGTGATGTGTGTATATAGTATTGAGTAGTGTTTTCTCAGATATTGGTAATAAATGACAGCTTAGCATGACAGTTTTATTTTTTGTCATACTTTAGTGCTCTTATTAAGCAAGTGAATAAATCAATAGATGGAACAGCAGATGATGAAGATGAGGGTGTTCCAACTGACCAAGCTATTAGGGCAGGTCTGGAACTGCTTAAGGTACGTACCTGTTTAAAATGAACTCCTGGCTGGGAAGGTGGCTCAGTGGTAGAGCGCTTGCCTTGCATGCCTGAGGCCCTCAGCACCACATAAGCAGAATAAGCCGGAAGTGGCTCTGTGGCTCAAGTGGTAGAGTGCTACCCTTGAGCTGAAGAGCTGAGGGACAGAGCCCAGGCCCAGAGTTCAGGCCCCATAGCCAACCCCCCCCCCCAAAAAAAAAATAAAATGAAGTCCTAATTAAGTAACACTGAAATATAGTTTTTATTGTTTGTTCTTAAGTTTCTATAACCTAAGGTAAACTTTCTCAGTTGCTTTAGGTAATTTAAAAATTGTGCATTTATTCAAACTTTTAAGCTGAATGTTTTCAGGATAATTCAACCATCTAACATTATTAATTCAGACATTAAAGCATTTTCATTGAGCAAATTGGAATGCAAATACTAAAACTGTATTTTAGTATTTGTTTTGTTAGATAACATGTTTTTTACCTGTTCTCATTATAAAAATAGTTTATTACCGACAACTTAAATTATAAACAAACTGTTCATAAGTTCTGTTTTATATAGTTGAAATCAGAAGGAATATTTAATTTTCTGTCCTTAATTAAATTATAAACATCCTTCTTAGTCCATTCTACATTAGTGCTTTAATAGTTTGATAAAACAGTGGGTTCTAGCTGTCATTTTCACTCACTTTGCTCTTGAATACTTTATCCCTGCTCCATCCATGCTAGAAATTACAATATTCTGGAGAAGACTAAATTCATACATATAAATTCTTAGCACAGTGCCCGGCTTGCAGTAAAAATAACACTTGAAAAATCTGGGTAGTGATAGAAATTAGACGTAGGGCCTCAGTGTTTATTCTCATAGATGCTAGGATGTACTTATTGATTTTCCTTTTCAGTCTCATGAGTTTTCCACATTGTTGCCGCATTGATTTGGTTATTATTACAACCTCTTTTACTACTTGGTACCTCTCCCTGATTTACTTTTTTCTTAAAAAATGTTCTTAGCTACTTTCTTCCAGTTATTTTATCTAGAAAAATAACAAGAGTTTGTAAAATACGCTATTAAATTTGTTTTCTCTTACTCCTAATCCCTGCTCCCCAAGGGTGGGCAACCTTAAACAGTAATCAGAATGTAAATTACATTGATTAGAATTATATCAACAGGATTTCTGTTTATATTTTAGGGTAATTTAAATTTTTTTTTTTTTGCTGGTAGTTTCTTATTAGTGTAATCATTTTGATTTTGACTTGTAGTTTTCTTAGTATGTAGTATCTAGGTATATTGTAAAGATGAAAGCTTTATATTTTTGTGTACTCCTTTTATAGGTACTCTCATTTACACATCCTATCTCATTTCATTCTGCTGAAACGTTTGAATCACTTCTGGCTTGTCTGAAAATGGATGATGAAAAAGTAGCAGAAGCTGCCCTACAGATTTTCAAGAACACAGGCAGCAAAATTGAAGAAGATTTCCCACACATCAGATCGTAAGTTTACTCTGATAAATATTTCAGATATACTGTTTCTTTTCTGATGGTAACCTTTGAAGTTTTGAGGAAGTAAGTTATCTTACTTCAGGAGAACAATATCTGTTCACTGTCATGTGAAGAAACTTCTATTGGTGTTTTTGAAAGTTGATGAAAATAGAAGATAAATATGGCAAATCTTCCTACAGCATTAGTTTTGCTTATAGATTTTGATGAAAGCAATTTTATAATGAAACTGTACTTGGATTCTATTTCATAGAATGGATAATTCACATCAGTTCAAGTGTAGTGAGGGATTTTATTGGGACTATTCACAGTAGTCTCTAGTTTCCTCTGCAATTGATTAAGGATTTTGGATGGGACAATTTTTTTTTTTTTTCTAATCAGTCTAGGGGCTTGAACTATGGGCCTGGACGCTGTCCCTGAGCTCTTCAGCTCAAAGCAAGCGCTCTACTACTTGAACCACAGTGCCACTTGTGGTTTTCTGGTGGTTAATTGGAGATAAGAGTCTCACTTGACTTTCCTTTCTGGGTTCTGAACCATGATTCTCAGATTGCAGCCTCCTGGGTAGCTAGGATAACAGGTGTGAGCCATTAATGCCCAGTGGGACAAATTTTTTGAGATGCTGAGCTTTAATTGATACAGGGAAATAGAAAAGTGTGGTGTTCAAGTATTTCTAATAATTTGAAATCGGGCTGCTACTCCAGGGCTCTATAATATTGGGTGATCATTGTTCAAGATTCTATAATAGAATCTCTATAAGGAATAGTCTTTGTTCCTATTACTATTTTTCTATATCCATCTTTGTTTTTGTAGGAAAGATCTGATGGTAGTTATATTGCTATAGTCATACAGTTTCAACTCATCAGTTCTAGGTTAGCCACTAGTATACTAGTTGTGATCGAGGAAACATGTTTATTATGAAATTGTGACTGACTTCCTCAGAAAGAGACTGGGCTCAGGTAGCTCTAACAGAGGTATGATTTTAGTTACTCCTTTTTGTGCAAGTGACCTTAATCATCTGAAGAAACTGTTGATAGAACAATAGCAACATTTATACGGTCATCTTCAAGAGTAAGAGTCTTTATTGTTTGAGATCAATTTTAATTTTTTACATGAGTTCAGAAAGTTTCCCTATGGAATAGTGCTGTGGCTCTCCTAAATCAGGTCAGAGATGAAAGTTTGGTTATGTACAAACAAACTGTATATGTTTACCATTTACTTGATGTTTACCCTAAAATCAGGTTATTTCAAACTTTCTAACAATTTTGTGAAATGCAGCTCTTAAATAACCTCTTAAAATCAGAAATCTGATTTTCAGAGAGGCAAATGTTTCTTGATCAAATAGGAAGCAGCAGAGCCATGATCTAGATTTTTTGACTTGAGTACCTATGGAGCTCCCTCCCACCCTTCCTTTTTCAGTTTATTTTTAATTTTTGTAAGTTAAAAAAAATTGTTTTTGAAATAGCATACATTAGCTGTGCGTCTGTGGCTCACGCCTGTAATCCTAGCTTCTCAGGAGGCTGAGATCTGCGGATCATGGTTCAAAGCCAGCCTGGGCAGGAAAGTACATGAGACTCTTATCTCCAGTTAATCACCAGAAAAGTGGTAGTGGCCCTGTGGCTTAGTGGTAGAGTGATAGCCTTGAGCTGAAGAACTCAGGGACACCTTGCCCAGGCCCAAAGTTCAAGCCCCACGACCAGCAACAACAAAAAGAAATAGCATACATTTGTTATTTACCTTATTCCTCATTCCTCCTCTCCCCTTTTCCCAGTTTTCAAACATTGTTTGGTGTGTTTTATATTGTTGTTTTCATGTATATATGTAACATAATTCAATCCTCATCACCTGTCAATATCCTCTCCTTTCCTCCTCCTTTCTCATGATGATCCTCACAGATAGTTCCCCTTTTACATTAGTACCCACTACCACTACTGTTATAATTACCATGTTCATTTTAGCTCTATTGTACATAAATGAGTGAGAACATGATATTTGACTTTTTGGGCTTTTTTATAGGTCTTGGGTCAAAGCAAAGATCAGATGGCTATAGTTATGTTATTTCTGGGTCTTCTGTTTCATTTGTCTTCAGGTCTGTTTTTATGCCAATAACAGTTTTTGTAACTGATCTGTAGTTATGTTGGTCCTTTGCTTAAGATTGTGTTGGTTATTTGGGATCTTTTGATTGCATATGAATTTTAGGATTTATTTATTTTTGTGAAAAACAGCCTTGGAATTTTTGGTGTGCATTAAATTGAATCTGTAGATTGTTTTCAGTAGAATGGTCATTTAACAGCATTGATTCTGCTAATACATGAACTTGGAGAGGTCTTTTCATCTGATGCACCCACTTTTTTTTATTCAAGGGCTTACAGTTTTTACTGTAAAAACATTTTGCCTCCTTAGATAAGTTTATACCTTATGATTTTGTTTTTCTGGTACTTTTGTGAGTAGAATCGTTTTGAGTTCTTTGTCAGATTATTAGTTATTGGTATATAGGAAAGCTACAGGATTTGCTATAATTTTATAGCTTTGCTGCACTGCTAGAAGTATTTATTAGCTCAGTTTTGAGGAGGAAGTGGAAAGTACTAGGATTTGAACTCAGGTCCTCACACATGTTAGGGGGGCACTTTTGCCAGTTAACCATACCTCCCGCCATGTTTTTGCTCATTATTTCTGAGATAGGGTCTTGCCTTCCTCCTTAGGTGGTTCATAGGCTGAGATCGGTCTCTGTTAGTCTTTTGTTATAACATGCCACTGGACTCAGGTCTAGCTTGAGAAGGCATCTTGTGAACTAGAATTGTGATTCTTTGAATCTCAACCTCCCAAGTAATTAACTCTCAAGGAATCAACTGTTCCTGGATCAGTTGGTATAATCTTCATAGAGTCATGAAATTCAAGAATAGGAGTAATTTGATTTCTTCTTTCCCTATTTGGGTCCTTTTTATTTCTTCCTCCTTTATTGTGCTGGCTAAGAATTCTGGTACTATATAAGAGTGGAGAGAATACTCTTGTCTTGTTCTTAACTTTAGAGGAAATGATTTGTTTTTCTCTTTATAGTATGATTTGGCCATATGTGTGCGCGCACGCGCACACACACACACACACAGACACACACACACACACACACACACACACAGAGTCTTTATAATGTTAGAATATATTCCTTCTCCAGAATTTTTTCAGTTTTTATAAAAGTGTGTGTTGACTTTGTCAAAGGCCTTTTTTATATCATTAACATGACCATGTGATTTTTTTTTGTTCTTGATTCTTTTCATATGATGTATCACATTTATTGATATATTTATGTTGAACCGTCCTTACATCCCTGAAATGAAACCAGTTTGATCATAATATATGATATTTCTAATGTGTTAGTGAATTCAGTTTGTTAGTATTTTATTGGGAGTTTTTATATCTATGTTTTTTTAAAAGGGAATTGTCTAAGAATCTTTTTTTTGTGTGTGTGTGGTTTTAGAGTAAGTATAATAGTTTCTTAGATTGAGTTTGGTGTTTCCATTATATTTCTTAGAAAAATTTGAAAAGTATTAGTGTTAATTCATACTAACAGTTTGGTAAAATAGTTCAGCCAATCCGGTGGGCTTTTCTTCTTCCTGTGAATTTGAGCTTTTCTTACATGATAGACTATTATTTATTACTGTTCAGTCTCATTACTTGGTTATAAGTCTATTTAAGTGGTTTATATCTTCTTGGTTCAATTTTAGCAGGTCAGTTGCATTGAGAAATGTATCCCTTTCTTCCAGATTTTCTAGTCAATTATTTGACTATATATAGTTTTGAAAATAATCTCTTACAATCTTTTTCATGTTGTTGGTATAGTGTGATAGCCTAAATTTTATTAATTTGGACTTGTTTTCTCCTCTCATAAATTAGATTTTCTAAGAGGTTATCAATATTATCTTTTTGAAGAATTGACTTGATTTTATTGATTTTTTTGTACAGTATTTTTAATCTCAAATTCATTAACTTCTTAATCTGTATTATTTCTTTCCATCTTTTGGGTTTGGCTTGTTCTTATTTTAATTTACAATATGTGTTTAGGCTATTTACTTGAAATCTCTGTGGGGTTTTTTTTTTGTCTTTAAAAAAAATAACAAATCCTTATATCTATAATATACCTCTTAATACTGCCTTTGTTATATCACAAAGATTCTGGTAGTTTAGATTTTCATTTTCATTTTCTTTTTTGGGGGGGTCTGGTCATGGGCGTGAACTCTGGGCCTGGCCGCTGTCCCTCAGCTCTTCAGCTCGAGGCTAGCACTCTACCACTTGAGCCACAGTGCAACTTCTGGCTTTTTTTCTTTTTGGTTATGTGGTGCTGGGGAATCGAACCCAGGGTCTCAGGCATGCAAGGCAAGTGCTCTACCACTGAGCCACCTTCCCAGCCCCAATATTTTCATTTTCCTTAGGTTTTAGAACATTCTGAGTTCTCCTTTATTTCTTCATTGATCCTCTGATTGAACAAAATGTTCAGTCTCTATGTGTAGCCTGTGATTTCTTTTGCTGTTTACTCCTAGTTTTATTCTACTTTAGTTAGATAAGATATAGGGCCTTGGAGCTGGGAAGGTGGCTCACTGGTAGAGCGCTTGCCTTGCATGCATGAGGCCCTGGGTTTGATTCTTCAGCACCACATAAGCAAAAATAAAAAAGCCAGAAGTGGCGCTGTGGCTCAAGTGGTAGAGCGCTAGCCTTGAGCTGAAGAGCTGAGGGACAGTGCCCAGGCCCAGAGTTCAGGCACCATGACTGGCAAAAAAAAAAAAAAAGATATAGGACCTTATTTCAATATTATTTTACTATATTTACTAAGTCTTGCCTTATGTTTTAAAATGTGATTTGTTTTGTAGAAATTTACAAGGGCTGCTGACTGAATTATTTATATGTATATGCCAGTTTATTCTATTTGGTATGTTTTGTTATTTAATTCTAATGTTGTTGTTGTTGAGAGTGTGTTGACATTTGGAGGTGTTATGCTGCTTTTT